ACTGGGGATGTGCCCACAACCAAAGTACATGCCCTTGACCGGAATCGAACTTAGGACCCTTCAATCTGCAGGCCGACACTCTATCCACTGAGCCAAACCGGTCAGGGCCTTTTTTATAGCTGAATCATATTCCATTGTATATATGCACCACTTCTTTATCCATTCATATATTGATGGACACTTCAGTTGCTTCCATATCTTGGCTGTTGTAAATTCTCTCATCCTTATTTTAATATCACAATGGCCCCACTCGAATGCTAGCATTTTGTTATTATGATTCACTGTTACTACTATTATAGTTAACTGACACTTACCTAGCCTTCATGATGTTCCAGGTACTGCACTAAATACTCCACACATATTATTTATTTACTTCTCACATCAACCTCTGATAGAAACCTATATTATCCCCAACTAACATATTTTAAAAAATGAGACTTAGAGAGGTTTGGGCACTTGCCCACTGGACGTAACTTGCTTAGATAATTTAATCAACCACAAGGCCTTCACCAAGTGCCTACTATGTATTCATTTACGTACAGGGTTATTTAGTGCTGTATTACTGGACAAGGAACTTCATAATAGTAGGATTAGGCTCATGGCTTTGGTTCAAAGGCATTACGTATTTTACTAGTCCATATTTCAATTTTGTTTCTGTAATAAAACCATGCAATTGTATCATGACCTTTGTCTCACCCCAAATAATATGGTGTAACTTATATTTTAGACCTTTATTTAGATATGCATATGCATTTGTTGCTAAGTTCAAGTAAGGCTGAGTTCAGTTGACTGATGTTGTCCCAGAAAGTAGAATTCTTATGATGCATAAATGATAGCTGATGAGGCCAACGCAACTGCTTGGAGAATTATAGCTTATAGAGTTGCTTGGCAGATGAAATCACTGGACTAATTAGAAAATAATGCATTAGGCTGTGCCTAGAAAACACGCAAAGTAGTGGGAGCAGAGCTGCATTCTGAGTTCCTATGGGATGCCAGTCACAATAAAGCCTGTGCCTTGTGTTCCTTATCTTTTCCTTTTTTTTTCTTATCTCTACAGCCCAGAAATTGAAACAGACACTGGAGCCTTGTGATACTGAGTACCCAGCATTTGTCTCTGAGCGCACCATCAAGGAGACCTCAGGGAACATTGCTTGTGAAGACTGCTCCAAGTAAGCCCCCCACCTCTGCTCAGTGAGAACTTCCCCAGATGGGCTGATGCGAGGGGCATGCCAGGATTCCCCAGAGAGAGAGGGAAACATGGCTGCCCTCTTGTGTGAGGAAGTATTTCTATCAGCTTGGGAGAAACGTCGCTTGGTTTTAGTAGAAAGGTCGCTGAGAGTTTGGGAAGCATTCAGAATGCATCCTGGAATATGGGAGGTTTCAGTTCTCTTTGTTGATGGTTGGAAGAAGTCCTCATTGGTGTTTCCCCAATTGACAGTTGGCAATTTCGGCTACCTGTTCCAGGTCTCTTTACCGAAAGCACCGAATCTGCAGATTCACTGAAGTCTGATGGTTTACTATGGGTTTCCCTGATTACTAATACGGGTGGGCCTGTTTTTGAAACAGTTTTATTGGTCATTTGGGGGTTCTTTACCTCTTCATTCCTGTATTTCTACTGGCAGTTCTCTGTTTGGTGGTGAATCTATTCATACTGATTTGAGTTTTCTTTCTATGTTTTGGACACCCCCCCCTTTTTTTTTGGAAGTTATATGGTTTGTATACGTGTCTTCCTATTCCTGGGTCCAGCTCTTCACATTTATGGATGCCCTTAGATGAGCAAAAATTTTCTTTCACTTTTATTTTATTTTAGTCTAATTTATTCTTTCTTCTATGATTTGTCTATCTTGTACCTTGTTTCAAAAATTAGTCTCTGCCCTAATATTATAATACTATTCCCATGTATTTTTACTCTGCATGCTTTAAAGGGCTACCTTTCACATTTAGGACTTTAATTCCAGAGAGAGAGAGAGGGAGAGAGAGAGAGAGAGAGAGAGAGAGAGAGGCGCGTGAGGGAGAGTCTAGTTTGGTCTTTTCTATGTACTTGGCTTTATAACCACCACTTTATATTAAATAGTCTTTATTTTCCAATAGATTATGATACCTGTGCCATGGGCTGAGTTCCCATCTATATGCAGATCTGGTCCAGGTTTTATGGTTTGTCAATACCTTTGTCAGCACCCTGTTTCTTTAATTATTATGGCTTTATAATATGACTTGTTATTTAGAACATATCATTTCATTATGCTTCCCTCTTTACTCTTTCATATTAATTTTGGAACCAGCTCATTAATTTCCATGACTTATGCTAGGGTTTCAAATAATTTTGCTATGTTATATATAAATTTGAAGATAATTGCTATATTTTATATTGGACCTTCCTTTCCCCTTATAAACTAAATATATCTACTTATTTATATGTATCTTTCTATGCCTTTCAATACAGTTTTATAATTTTATGTTAGATTTATACTTAGAGAGTTTATAGTTTTTCTTGCTAACATAAATAGTACATATTTGAAACTACATTTTCTAATTGATAATTGCTAGCATATGAGAATATCACTGATTTCTGAACATTGAGTATCTTATATCCCACAAATTACTAGATATTGTTTAAGATCTGACAGTTTGTGTATAGATTTTCTTGGGCTCTCTGCATAGACAGTAATATCACTTGTGAAAATTTTTCTTTCTAATCATTATACTTAATTATTTGTTTTATTACACCAGAATTCTGATACATAGAAGCAATGAGAGTAGGTGATCGTGTCTTATTCCTAATTTAAAGGAATTGCTCCTAATAATCCATATTAAGTATAATGTTTGCTATAGGGTTTTTAAAGTTGTAGTAAAATATAAATAATATAAAATTTACCATCATACTATTTTTAAGTGTAAAATTCAAGTGCATTAAGTAACTCACAATGATGTGCACCCACAACTGTTATCCATTTCAAATTGCTGTAGGTTTTTGGTAGTTAACCACTTATTAAGTTTAAAAAAGACCTCTTCAAGAGTGTTTGGTGCTGCTGGTGTTATTACTTGAAACTTGAATGGATGTTGAATTTTATTTTAAAAAAATTCTACATTACTAAAATAATTTTAATTTTTAATATGTTGAGTTACAGGGATATAATTAAAATTGTTTTCAATCATGACACATATATACCATAAATATCTTTAATAGTAGATGGTTTGTCGAATGTGAAAATATACTTGCTTTCCCATGATGGACTTTCATTGTGAAGGTTACAAAAACCAACACCATATTTCAAGATTCATCTGCTCATATTAGATGGTGAGCTATTGCATCTGTGCTCAAAAAGGAGTGCGGGCTACACTTTTCCTTTCTTGTACTGTCATTTGGCTTTGCTCTTACCTTCATTTTATCGTCACAAAATTAGTTGGAGAATATTCCCTCTCAAATATCTTAACATTTTGTATAAGACCAAATTATCATTTTCTGGTAGGTTTGGTAAAACTCATAAAACTATCAGTGACTGATGGGTTTTTGTTTGTTCATCTGTTTTTGTGTGAGTACATTTTCAACTACTGAATTCATTTCTTTAGTGGTTAGCTATCTCTCTGGAATTTCTGTTTCTTTTTGAAATGACTTTGGTGATTATATTTCTTAGAAAATTGCCTATTTCTTCTCAGTTTTCAAGGTTATTGCATGCATTTGTTCATAGTGTTATCGTTTGATTAAAAATGCTATCTTATTGCAGATTTTGCCCCCTTTTAAATCAATCTCTTTCTCTTTCCCTCCTTCTCTTTCTTCTCTCTCCCCTTTCCCACTTTTCCCTTCTTCTCCTCCTTCTCCTCCCCCCCCCTCCTCCTCCTCCTCCTCCTTCTTCTCCTCCTCCTTTTTTCTCTCTCTCTCTCTCTCTCACTCACTAAAGCCCCCCCCATGTTTCATGTTTGTTTTGTTTATCTTTTCAAAGAACAATCATTTAGATTGTTTGATTATTTCTGTTGTTTCTCTGAATTTTTATTTTATTTATTTTGCTTCTTAGCTGTATTATTAATTATTACCTTTCTTCTGTGTTTTGGGAGTTTACTCTGTTGTTGTTGTTTTTTCTTCTAACATTTTGTGTTTGCTGCCTAACTTTATCAGCTTCATCCAAATATATATAATTTCTTTCTGCATTCCAGTTTATCTCCAAAAATTTAATATAAGGCTTCCATTATTATTTAACTCTAGCAATGTTATAATTTTCACTATTTTTATCTATAAATTTTTAAATAGTTTTAAGATTTTCTAATATGTTGGATTTGAGACTTTTTTTATTATTGATGTCTAATTAAATGGCATTGTGATTTGTATAACATGTTTTTTAGTATGTGTGGAGACTTGCTTTGTATTCTAGTACTTATCCATGTATTTTTGAAAGCAAGTTTCATTCTCTAATAGCTGGGTACAGGGATTAATATATTAATAAGTAACTATTGGCTCAAATGTCTTACTTTGTTTCAAAGTTTTTTAAAGGCTATTTTATTTATATTTTAATTGTTTTCAATTAGAGTTTACATTCAATATTTAGGGAGTGTCTGTTTTAGATGGCAATTAATCTCTTATAAGACTTAGGAATTTTTCAACTCATTTGTGTCATTCAATTCATTTTGCTTTCTATATTTGAAGCAATGTTACCATGGACATCTCTGTTCAGGATTGGTATAGCTTTCTAATAAATCATTCCTTTTATCATTATGTAAAACCTTCTGTATGAAAGTGCTTTATGCTTCAATGTCTATTTTGTTTGCTAATAGCATAGGCATAGTAGTTTTTCTTTTGGTAACATTTCCTAGGTATATTTCCCACCCCTCTTCCCTCAATTTTCAAGTATTATTTTTTTTGTCATTTTGCATTAGGATTTGTCTTATAAATAGAACATAGCTGGATTGAAATACCTGTCTATTGTTGGTAGGTTTAAGTCTGGATTTATTTCCATTTTATATGCTTTCTATTCTTCATTCTTTATCTTTGCCCTCCTCCTCCTCCTCTTTCTTCTTCTTCCAATAGAATGTTTACCAATTTGTTTACTCACCATTGCTTTTTTTTTTTTTTGCCATTGCTTTTTTTGTTTTACAGTATTTTGGAAGTTTTTCCAGGAATGTTCTGGGAGTGATAAATTCTCTCATTCTTTGTCTAAAACACCTTATTTCATAGGTACTCCGCAGAAATAATTTAACTTCATACTATCTAAATTGAAATTTTTAAAGATATCATTCCCTTGTCTTCTGACTTTTAGTTTTGCACCTTTATAAATAGGCTAGTTTCCCCCTCTCTGGTGGCTTTTAAAGCATTACTCTCTCTTTAATGTTCTGAAGTTTCACTGAAGTATGTCTAGATATAAATTCATTTCTGTTTTTTATGTACTTTATCCTGGATAATGTCCTTCAACTTATATTAGAGTTCATTAATTTCCTTTTGACTGTGTCTAGTCTGCTGCTTAGAGAATGCATTGAGTTTTTAATATAGATGTCTTTCCTTTTATTCTAGAGGGTTTATTTGCTTCTTTTAAAAATCTGTGTATTCTTTTATAAAGAGTCTTATTATTAAATTTCCTATACTTAATTATAAAGAACTTTTAAGGTTATTTTAGCAGTTTAAACTTTTAGGGCACCAGTCTCTTGTTGCTTGTGTCTGCTTTCTTTAATGGCAGATTTTTGCTCATGTGTCTTGTCATTTTTGACTGTAAACTGATCTTTACTATTAATTATTATTTTTGTGGGAACAGACTAGAGCTTGAGTTTCTCTTCATGAGAGGTTTATAGCTGGGCTTCAATCATGTATCCTATTGGTATTGACTGCGCCTGGGAATAATTGTTATGTAAGCTTTTGTATTTAGGAGTTTGTGCATCATATAATTACAGTAAATATTTTTCCTAGGCAGCATGTACTTTAGGCATAACGTTTGATTTCTCATGCTGATATCAGAGCCCCAGACAACACCACTTAGCTATAAATGTACAAGTTGGCTTTTAGTATCTTCTCTTGTAAGTATTTTTTTTTTTTGTATTTAAACATGCACTTTTAGTTTTACTATTTCATCCAGCATGTCTAAGTGTTGAGAGCAGAATGGCTTCCACACTTGCCAAACCACCATGTCATGGTTTACTTCTGACTGAGGACTTCCGAGAGCACCCACAGCAAGCACGGAGGTGTGTT